GGTACACAGGGATCATCTTCTGGAGCTTCAGCTGCAGAGGGCTGCTCCTGTCCAGCCTCTCATGCTTCCCATCTATACTTTTACACACTTTTGTTTTTAAACCTTATAACCAGGTGTCCTACCCAGCAGTGGCTGAGAGGGTTTCTGCCCCAGAGCAAGCTCCCACTGTGCCCTCGAGAGAATGGGGTTTAAAAAAGTCTTGGGATGTATTTGGTTGAGATTTAGCATAGCAACAGTAAAACAAAGACCTACAGCAGACTCAGAGGTAAATAAAGAAACACTTGAAAGTGAAAAAGACTTTAAAAATGGAAATTAAACCTATTATAGGAGAGAGAAATTCCACTTTCATATATGCCTTTTCTTCTCCACTCCTTTTTTCCCCTTTGCAATTTCTCATGAGCTATTTAACTTAAGCTGTAATCCAAGAACCATTTAAGCCTTGGCTCTGCATGTGCAAGTTCTAAATTGCACAGAGCAGGCTACTATTGACCCCTGAGTGGAAATTATTCATTTTGCTTCTTTCACCATTTCATTTTACTTTACATTACTTCAACTTAATTTATTAAGGACTTCAAGCTAAGCTGAATATATTCCTGGTGAGATCAAAATTTAAATCAATGAGTTTATGAAGGGGTTTGCACAGGTATTACTGAGTTTATTTTAAAATATATGTGTTCAGGCCCAGAGGTGATGCTCAGGGCTGTAATCTCACCTATTTGAATGATTGCTGGTGCTCTGGCACAGGGAGAGGCAACTTTAATGCACAGCTTTGGGAGTCAGATTAGAAGCCTGATGAGCAGCACAGGACAAACTCCATTTGTGCAGTCTGGACAGGCTACAGTGTGAGTCTGAGCACAAGAAATGAGAGGAAAAAAGATTTGTGAAATGTTTTTGTTTTGAAAATGATGGCTTGAGTCATGCCAGCAGTGTGGAAGGGTGTACTGAAAGGGAAGCAAAGGTGGCCAATGAGCTCTGCTTTTGAAAGCAAAGATTCCAGCTTGTGAAGATCCTCAGATGCAAATCTCATTAACCTTAAATACAGAAAGCACTCCAGCAGATGAAACAGGGTGATGTGCTCAGAGAGGGGTGCCAGCCCCCATCACTGGAAGTGTCAGGATTGAATCCAGAATTTCTTCTGTCAGGCACTGCTAGTAAAGTAAGGAGATCACATGGATGGAGAGGTAAGTACAGGATCTAGAGCTGACAAATACAGTCAGATTGGCAGTGCCTGTGATTTTTAGCATTCCTGTATGTAACAGGAATGAGAAAGACAAATCCCTTTGGATTCACACAGGACCATCTGGACTTGTGCCAGCAAATGACATTAGAGTCATAGAATTACAGAACTGGTAGGGTTGGAAAAGACCTTCAAGATAATCAAATCACCCATCCAGCACTGCCACATTCACCTCTAATCCATATCCCCCAGTGCCATGCACCTTTTGAACACTTCCAGGGATGGTAACTCTGTCACTGCCCTGAGCAGCCTGGGCCAATGTTTACAACCCCTTTAAGGAGAAAATGTTCCTAATACCCAACCTAAACCTCCCTGCTGCAATTTGAGCCATTTCCTCTCATCCTTTCTGACCATCCTGGCTAGCAAAGTAGAAGGTATTTTGTAGCTGTTTCTTACAAATTCTGCCTGGGGTGAGTGTATTCAGCAGCTGGATTTGGCAGCCTGGGAGATCTCCCAGTGAAAATTCCAAGATAAGGGCGGGTTCTGGGTGTCTGGTATTGGTGGATGAGGATGGGATGCACAACAGCTGTTTGTGCTCCTGAGCTCTGTTAACCTGTCTTTCCTCCTGAATCTTTCCTTGAGGGCCCAGCTTTCCTTCCTTGCACTGGAACAAAGCTGCTGTGGCCAAACCCTTGCTCCTGGGAGGGCTGAGCGTTGTTCCCCATGCAGGTGGCACCAAAATGTCACTTGCAACGTTGCCATCCCCACGTGGGGGTTTGTGCTGGCCTGAATTCTGCTCTGATTCAATAAAACAAACACCCTGAAACTCTCAGCTGCACCATGTTTGGAGAACTGGACATGGCCTTTTCTGTTCCAAGCTGTCATTCCATGTTTAACATTTCTGTCTTTAAAAATGTGGTCTGTGTATTTAGAAAGTAAAGTTGTTTGATTACTTAAGTTATTAGTAACTGCAGAGCTCTGGTTCCTTGGCCAGTACCAACCATTACAAAAGAAAAATCATCATTACAGCATTCCATAGAGATTGTTGGAGCTGAGTATGATGTGACTGGCAAGTGCATCTTACTTGGTTAAATATTCAGGTGGTTCATGTTTGCTTTCTGGCACCAGTTGTTTCAAAGCTGTAAGGCTTTTTGATTGTAGAAAAAGTGGTTGTTAAATTCAATGGCAGCTTAAAAAATTAGATACTAGAGAATTTTGAGAATTATTTTAATTAAAAGCAAAACTAAAATATTATTTATTTAGAAAAAGTGGAAAATTACCTGAATAAGTCTAAAGCAGGTGGGCTGCATTTGAGCTCTCTAGAACAGTTCTTTTTGTTTGGTTTTGGTTGTAGTTAGTTGTGAGAAAGATGTTACAGTACAGCTAACACCAGCCTGCCTAGCTCTGTGGGAATGCATCTTGGCAAGCAAACTGGTTACTTTGGGATGAGGTTGGAGCTCCAGTTGATGAGGGTGACAGATGTATTTTTAACCCATTATAATGTGGTTGATTATTTCAATCAGTACATCTAATTTGGTTAATGAGATTATTGCTAAGAACAAGCAGAGGCCATGGAAAATAGATTGTATTTGACAGTAATCTCATCCTCTTTCAGAGAGACATGGAACTGGGTCCAGGCAGGGATGTACTGACAGATCAGTGTTATTCCATAACCCATCACAGTATTTATTAGAGCTAACTCTGCAGTTTCCTTGATAAAGTATCCATGAAACATGCTGGATACAGAAGGCATCTTGTTTATCCAGAGGAATCCAGAGGGTTTGTTAAACTGGCACAGGCAAATGTGCCTTTTCAGGTGAGCAAGCCTGTGGTTTGTACATCTGAGAAAAATACCCATGTCCTAGTTACTGACTGGGGGATTGTCTCCTTAAAAGCTGTAGTTTGAGGAGAAGAACAAGTCATGGAAAGTGTGGTGAGTAACAGGCTAAATGAGGCTCTTGTGTGATACTGTGGTGAGAGGGGTGAGTTGGTGGGAATGGAACTGCCAGTCAGCATGCTTTCCTGGAAAATCTGCCTCTCCAGATAAACATAATCTTGTTTCATGTTTGACTTTACTTGAGTGGTGTCTATAAATATGTACAAGAAGCCAAGATTTCTTATACCAGAGGGCTTTTTATTTTGTAGGCAAAGATTTAATGAGATTTACTGCCTGGAAGACGAAAAGCCTGATCAAACTAGAGGGATAAAAAAAAAGAAGTTTCTCTCACCACTTGAAGGCTTTCTGTGAGCTCTCAGTGAGATATGCTGATGTGTTCACACACCTTTGTGTAGCCTCAGAAGAAATGAGTAAAAATGCTGCAGTCTGTGTTCTGCAGGAGGGTCATGGTGGCTTTGGCTTGTAGTGACTCTTCAAAAATCACCCAAAGTGCAGCTCTGAGGTGGGGTTTGTTGCAGGGATGGTGTGATCCCTCAGCCCTATAAATAGCTGCAGTGTGGGGGGCTTTTCTTTCTGTGGAGGTGGCAGGATGGAGAGCAGAGCTGTGGCTCTGAGGTGCCAGCTCTGCCCACAGCGCCAGCCTTGGGCTCCTGTTCAGCACTGGGCATTCCTGGGGCCTCAACCAGATGGTTCAGCCCTTCAGCTGGGGGGGAGGTGGGCACTCACAGGCCTGGGGCTCCGTCCTGCTGAGGTAGATGAGCACTCACCCTTCAAGTTCTGACAGCATTTGGAATAAACACAGTGCTCACATTTGCAGAATCTGCTTATTTCTAGAAGTATGTGTGGGGTTTATGTGGGAAATGACATTGGCTTTAATTTTGTAAATGATGCATTTTGTAGCTGCCACGATGGGTAGAGCTGTGTAGGTACCACTGTGGTTAGAAGGTGCAGTGAATGCAGTTCTTAAATGTGACTGGACAATACGTTCTAGACATGCTAGGAAACAGCAAATGTCAGTCATAGGATGCAAGTGTGTGAGTGTGTGTGTGTTTGAGTGTGTGTGAGTGTGCAAGTGTGTGTGTGTGAGTGTGTGTGTGTGTGTGTGTGTGTGAGTGTTTGTGCAAGTGTGTGTGTGAGTGTGTGTGTCTGAGTGTGCTTCTGTGTGTGCATGTCTGAGTGTGTGTGTAACTATGAGCGTGTGTGAGAGTGAGTGTGTGAATGTGTGTCAGTGTGCACGTGGGTGTGTGTGAATGTGCATGTCAGTGTGAGTGAGTGTGTGCTTGTGTGTGTGTGTGTTTGTGTCTGAGTGTGTGTGTGAGTGTGTGTGTGTGTTTGTGTGTGTGTTTATGTGTGTGTTTGTGAGTGTGTATGAGTGTGTGTGTGTGTTTGTGTGTGTGTGAGTGTGCTTCTGTGTGTGCATGTCTGAGTGTGTGTGTAACTATGAGCATGTGTGAGAGTGAGTGTGTGTCAGTGTGCATGTGGGTGTGTGTGAATGTGCATGTCAGTGTGTCTGAGTGTGTGAGTGTGTGTGTGTTTATGTGTGTGTTTGTGAGTATGTGTGTATGAGTGTGTGTGTGTTTGTGAGTGTCTGTGTGTGTTTGTGTGTCTGCGTGTGTGTGTGTGTGTTTGTGAGTGTGTGTGTGTATGAGTGTGTGTGTGTGTGTGTGAGTGTATGAGTGTGTGACCCTGGGCTGCATTGGTTTGTCCTTGTAATGCCAAGGTTGCAGGTTCAATCCTCAGTCACTTTAACAGTTGGACTCGGCAATCCCTGTGTGTTCCTTCCAATTCAGATATTCTGTGATTCTCCCTTTTCACTGTTGATCTTTAATAGCACATCCTTTTTCCTGCCAGAAGAATAGGCTTTTATTTATTACCTTGCCTTTTTTGTCCTTTTCTTTCTGTTTATTCCCTGTTTTCTTTCCCCAGTTACCCAGTGGGAGACTCTTCCATGCAGCAGCAGTTATCTCAGATGCCATGTACATCTTTGGTGGCACAGTGGACAATAACATCAGAAGTGGAGAGATGTACAGGTTCCAGGTAATTTGCTGATAAACTTACTCACTTCCACACCAGTTCCACATGAGTCCTGTTTGTGGAGTGTCTGGTTTAGCTCACCACGAGCTCCATGGCATTTAGTCCATGTCCTTCTTGCAGGCATTCTCTGCATTCGTATTCAGCTTTCAAAGGTCGATGTCTGTCTTTAAAATCTTTTGAGAAATGTTATTTGGACAGATATTTTGGTAAGGTCAAGCCCTCTAGTGCGTTCTGAAGTCCTACAGAGATCATGACAATTTTGACAAATCATTGGAAAGTGTAGCAGGTGGGATTTGAATTATTATTTCATTAAAATTGGCTGTTCCTCCTCATGTGCTGTCCTGTTCAGGGCCCTGGGGCAGACTGTTTTGTGTTGTGGTTTTATCTCCATGCAGCTCTCCCACTCTCATCTGACATAGCTATGGGAATTGAAACTTAAATTCAGGATACTCTAGATTAAATCCCACATACAGTCAAGTCTATTTTTATTGCATGGCACCCTCAGACAAGTCCTGAGAGCAGGTGAGACTCCCAGCCTCCAGATCCTCATATCTGGAAGTTGTGATGAGACACAGTTCTTCAGTGTTACACGGTGTTATCTGTCCTTAACCTCACCCTGGGGGAAGCCCTTGCATGTGTTTGGTTTGTTTGTGACATTCTACTTTATGTGTTACACTGAGGCTGAGTTAGTAACAGAATCCAGTGATTGCAGATGTAACCTTGGCACTTTTGGTTATAGAATCATAGAATCAGGAATGTCCTGAGCTGGAAGGACCCACAGGGACCATCCAGTGCCACCCCTGCCCTGCACAGACCCCCCAACAATCCCACCCTGGGCATCCCTGGCAGCGCTGCCCAAACACTCCTGGAGCTCTGGCAGCCTCGGGGCTGTGCCCATTCCCTGGGGAGCCTGGGCAGTGCCAGCACCCTCTGGGGAAGAGCCTTTCCTGATATCCAGCCTGACTCTGCCCTGACACAGCTCCAGCCTTTCCTTGGTCCTGTCCCTGCTCAGATTGAGCAGAGATTGAAGCTGTCCCTCCACTGCCCCTTGTGAGGAAGCTGCAGACCCTGAGGGGATCTGACCTCAGGCTCCTCTGCTTCCAAGTGATGTGAGATTTGAAGTTTATATAGCCACTGAAATTAATTCTGTCTTCTGTGGGGTTTTATTTTTTTAGTTTTCTTGTTACCCTAAATGCACTCTCCATGAAGACTATGGAAGGCTGTGGGAAAACAGACAGTTCAGTGACTTGGAGTTTGTTTTGGGAGAGGTGAGTAGAATTTATTGGAGAGGTGCCAATGGGGGTGTTACTGTGTGTGTGGTGTGTTTGCTGGGAAAAAGCAAATTGTGCAGTGGTTGTGCCAGAAACCTTGGGAATGAATCACTGGTGAACTGTCTGCCTGGTTTATTAAGTTTCACTGATCCAGATAAATTTTTAAAGCTGCAATGGAGAAGAAACTTTTTAACTGAGAAGATCTGTCACTGACTTAACCTGAATTTATCAAAACATGTTATACAGAGTTGCAATATGAAAATTTACCAATGGCCTCTGTACTCCCAGGTCCCAGTTGCCTTCCTAGGAAGGCAGGTCAATGTTTTGCAAACCCATTATCATTTCAATAGCCATTTTTAATTACTGAAATAAAGGAGAATGAGAAAAAGCAGTACAGGGGAATGGTTCTCTATAATGCAAACAGTTAAAACGTTTAACAGAGAACAGGTTTCCTGAAGATAAACATGAGAAATTTGAATTTACCTGCATTCCTTTTGCAAAAAGGAAAAGTCAGAAAAGGCTTTGCAAAGCTCAGAGAACAGATCCTCAACAACAGGTGAAATAAATTATGGCAAACAATGCAAAACCATACTGTTATTTTGAACAGGGAAAATGAAACAGAAGGTCAGATGTAAGAATAAAAGGCACTGTATGTGACACAGCAGCTTCCACTCAGTGGATGTGCCACAGGCTCTTTCCCAAATGGTATTTGCCATCAGCCTTTGGGGAAATGGGTGTTGAATTTCGTCTGCATGTGCAGAGCAGATGTAGGGCTGCCTTTAACTTGAAATGTATCATAACCTGGGGTTCAGCCCAGGTTTCTGTGACTTCTGCCATCTGCCATCACCATGTGATTTAGAAGCTGAGTGTGATTTCTGCCTTGGCCTTTGGCAGAAGGAGGAGCGAGTCCGAGGGCACACGGCGATCGTCACCGCTCGCTGCAAGTGGCTGAAAAAGAAAATCATGCAGGCCAGGGAGAGGGTGAAACAGGTGAGTGTTTTGGAAAAGTAGCCTTGTAGCAAGGTAAGGCTTATTCTGCCCAGCTTTGGGAATAAGGTTGTCAGGAGAAAAGCAATATCTGTTGAGACAGCTGGAGGACAGGAGCAGTGTCTGATGCTAAGGTGCTCTTGAGCAAGTAAAATAAAGATCATTAGTATTAACTAAGGCTACTGGATGTGTATTAGGAGTGTAACATGGAGGAGCCAGAGTTAATCCAGTTATGTGGATTTGACAGTGTGGTTCTTGGAAGCTCTTGTAGCTGTCTGAGGTCTAATCTTGTGGAATGCCCCAGAGAGGCGTGAGTACCCTTCTCTGTGGGGGTGGTAGAGCTGTGTCATGGGGATGGCCCACAAGATCAGACAGATTAGAGGGAAGAAAGGCAATGCTGAGGGTTTCAGCTGCCTCTCTTCCCTTAACTTCTGTATTTTTTTACTTTTTCCAGAGGTGAAAGTCTGGTGCCTTCCAATCATTGTCATTTAATTTTGACTGCTTCCATCTTTTCAGCAGCAAACATTTAATGGCTTTTGGGGGGATAGTAGCACACGATCTGCAGTAAGATGTGGATGCCTCACTGCCCCCCAGTTAATTGTTTTGCCACTGGAAAGGCTGTGGGAAAAGGCTGTCAAAGTGAAACTTGAAGTAACAGAGTGCTTTAAAATACTTCTGTGCAGCACTTTGTGCTCTGCCTTTGCAGGGCAGGGTTTGTGGAACCTACTCCCACCTGTCCCTCCTTCACAGAGTGGGGCAGAAATGTGAATTCAGTGCATTCTGTGGGCAGAAATGTGAGTTCAGTGCAGTTCATTCCTCCCTTGCTGTGATGTCCTGCTTCTGACCTGTATCCAGGAGCTTCCTTGTGTTCTCATCCATGTGTGTCCCAGGATATGAAGCAGTAAGTCTAAGACATGAATTCCTTGTTATCTCCAAGATAATCCTGAAGCTAAAGAGATCCTGACTCTTGGAGAATGCGGAGTAAGGAGAAGGATCCTCTGCTTTGGTGGTAACTTGTGTGAACTGGCACAGGCTTGTGCCATGTTTGGGTGGTCTTTGTGTTTCACTAGAAATCAAAGCAGGACATAGAAGAGGAGGGACACAGCACGTGCCCGAAGGATGGCATTGGTGGCAATGTCAGGCTGTGCCGGCTGCAGCCGCTGCTGGAGGTGCCCATCCGAGAGGCCGAGGCGCAGCCCTTCGAGGTGCTGATGCAGTTCCTGTACACGGATAAGATCAAGTATCCCCGCAAAGGTAGGGGGGCAGGGGGAGCCAACGCTGCCCTGGGGAGGGGAGGGGGCAAATGTGTTCAGAAACAGCAGCATCCAGCATTTGCAGGTGATTACTCCTTCATTACTAACTGAGATTAAACAAAAAGCAGATTTTTATCAGAGAGTACTAACTATGCTTATTTTCCCTCTAATTCTTTTCAAATATCAAGGAAGAACAAGTTACTGATCATTCCAAAAGGTGTAAAAAACCCTAACAAACAAAAATATTGTGGTATTTTGAACATCACAGCATCCTGCTTGGAAGGACCATGTGTCTTATCCTGGCTTGGCTTATTTCCTTTTTCTGATATTATTTTGATCCATTTTAAATTGAGCCCACACAGAAAGGTGTGCAAGCCAGTATTTATCACCTGTTAAAAATCCAATCTGAAGGAATGCCTCAAGAAAGGAAAAAATCCTTTTGGTGCATTCATTGAAGTTCTAGGAGTTAAAAACACTTGTGGGTGAGGAATTAACAGCCAGAGATCTTGCAGCTTCCACACAGGGAATCCAGCTGCTGGCTGTGTGAGTGGTGAGGGCTGTGGGCAATGGGAGAGGGGATGGATACAACTGGATGCAGCAGGAACTCCAGCTGCTGGGGCTGGGGAAGCTGCAGCCATGGGGGCTGGTGGAGTACAGTGAGGTGCAGCTGTCCTAGCACTGAACTTTGCTTCAGCTTCACTCTGAGAGCTTTGCTTTCTGCAAAGATAATTCTCAGGAAAAAAGTGATACATGTCCATTTGGGCCAAGGCTCTCCCTGTGAGGAGGCCACTCTGGGAATGATCCCACTGGCTGGGGGTGAGGGAGCTGCTCCTGGGTTCTGCTGACGTTGCCAGATCCTGCTCCCAGCCATTCACTGATCTCAGAACCTTGGGACAGCCTCAGGCCAAGGGAAGGCTTGGACCCCTGAGCTCTTCCATTGTTACAGGCTGCCCAGGCAGCCTGCCCCTCTTCCCCAGCCCATGAGGGGCTCTCCCTGGTGCTCCCCCTTCTGCCCTGCCCTGCCCATTTGGATTCCCAGTAGCTCCTCTGAGCTCAGAGAGCAGCACCCTGGGGAGCCATCCCGAGGCTGAGCTAATGGAATTGGGCATGCTCATCAAATGGGATTTTCCAATTAGCCACAGGGAAGGCATGTGACATGTGAGAGGGCTTTTCTCTATTAAAAAGTAGTTAGAGCAGATGGGCAGAGATCTCCTGTGAGGAAAGCAAAGGCCATGGGGGATTGTTCCTTGAGTTGGTGTCCCAGTAGCCCCATTGCAGTGCCTACAAGGGTCTCCTCTGCCAGGTCTGTGCAGGCTGAAGCACGGAGTGAAAGCCCAGAGTACCTTCATCAGGGTCTGTCACAATCAGGGAGCTGATTGTTAACACTGTGTAAACCCCAAGGACTCTGGCAGGGCTGTTGGCAGCTGGGCACTGAGAAATTGGGCTGCAAGCTCTGGGCCTTGAGAGGGATTTTAGAGAATCGCTTCACTTTCTTTGGAGAGTTTCAAAAAATTGTGATCCAGATTGTCACAAAATCTTTGTCTTTTGCATGCTTCAAATTTGAACCTCATCTTCTAGTATTGATTCAGATTTTACCTAACCAGGAATGGAATTCTTTCCTCTATAAAAATATCCAGCCACTGCCTGTTCTGCTATTGCAATTGCTCCAGGTGATTTAAAAAATACTTTCAGAAGGGTTCATCTCTGTTCTGTGGGCTCTCCAGCAGTTTTCCCTCTTGCAATTTCAGGTCATGTGCAGGATGTGTTACTCATTATGGATGTGTACAAGCTGGCCTTAAACTTCAAGCTCTCTCGGCTGGAACAGCTCTGCCTTCAGTACATTGAAGCATCTGTGGATCTGCAGAATGTGCTCATTGTGTGTGAGAATGCTAACAAGCTTCAGCTGGATCAGCTAAAGGTAATCACATTCTGCATACAAAGTAACTGATAAGAAATTTTTAAAAAGGAAATTATGTAATTAACATTTGGCCAAAGGTATCAGCTTTTGCAAATTCATCGTTCCTTTAATTACAGTTGCTTGAGTATATTTAGCATGGGGTGTCCTACAGTGGCTTGTGATATTATGTAGGCTTTTCAATACATGCTCAGTATTTTTGCATATCTGCTTTGTAGAATGTCAAGGGCAGAGTGACTTTGGCTCCTCATCAGTTCACTCTTGCTGCAGCAAGATGGAACCAGTGCATTTCCTGCTCTTGCTGTGTTACATATACTGACACTGCACATAGGTTCTTTCATTTTCTAGAATGAAAAACTAAACTCTGTTCTCAGGCTTTGCACTGAAAAACAAAATGTGCCAGTGATTCTGTGTCTGTGGTGGGTGAGAGGCTTTGGGGTGCTGGGTGACAATCAGGGTGGAGCTGACCCCTGGCTGCAGGCCAAGAGGTGCTGGCTGTGCTGACCCCGAGCCAGCTCTGCTGAGCCTGCAGGGAAGCAGCTCCTGGCCCAGCCCCAGAGGCAGAGCAGGGCTGTGCAGTGCTTGCTGAGGGTGTTCAGCCTGTGCACAGCAGGGACTGCATTGCTGGTGGCTGCAAGCACAGAGGTGCAGAAAGCAGTGTGCAGCACTTCCTCACGCTGGGTGTGCTCTGGATTTGGGAGAGGAAATGCCTCCAGGAGGAAGCAGCAGGGCCAGCAGCACTCTGTAAATGCTGGCACAGCCTTTGGTGCATGGCATCGTGGTGCCATCAGCTGCCCAGAAGCTCAAGCATTGGTGCCCCCACCTGCCCTGGCCACCTGTGCAGTGCCAGAGGCTCTTGCACAGGGCTCCAGTTGGGCAGGATCACCCTGAGCTGGCATCCTGTCTGCTCAGGGGCTCATTAGTCCTCATGGGTGGGTCCTCTGTAGAAAGCTGTCCTTTCTGGAATCCCAGTCATGGTTTAAAATGTTTCACAGGTGAGTCCTGACAGATTCACCTTTGGATCCCAGGTGGAATAAACTGCCAGAAACAGACAGTAGTAATGATTCTTTGGGTGAACTTGTACCCACCTTATGGTGAGCTGGTGTAGATTGTATTTATTGCTTATAAAAGTGGAATGAGGGGAAATAAAGTGCCCTTTTTTGGTCTCTAACTGTTAGTTAGAGACTAACAGAGACTCTAACAGTTTGGTCTCTAACTGTTATTACGTCTGGTTCATTTGTTACCTTTTCACCACACTGATTTTTGTAAGAAGTTTATTACACAAGAGCCTTCCAGAGCTCTTGAACTCTTTGCTGCATTTGTGGAAAAGGTTCAGGCAAAACCCACAAAATTCCTTTTACTTTCCTGTAAGCTCTTTGGACGCTTGATGGAGAGTGTCAAGAGTTAAGATCTCTTCACCCTTTTAATTAAATTTTGGCATCTAATTATGTTAAAAGTTACTATGAGGTAGCAACCAATCTTCATTATCTCCGTGAAGTTTGCTGTATCTCCTGAGATTGCTGTTTTAAAAAGCTTTGGAACAGCTCAATGGGCAGTTAATCTCTTCCTTGTTAATATTTCTAGTCAAATTTTTCTAGATGCTTAGAATTGTCCTGAATTTTCTGTTCAAGGAGGAGCCTAAAAGGTCTTTCAGGAAGGATGAGGATATCACTGTTGGATAGTTCCAGCTGCAGGATCCCTGTGGAGGTTCAAAGGGAAGGATGGTTGATGGCATGTGTAACATGTAAGATTTATGGGATGCTCCAAGATGACTTCAAACAATAAACCATCAATTTCTTAATTAATATTGGTGTATTTTTAAGGAACACTGCCTGAACTTTGTGGTGAAGGAATCCCATTTTAATCAAGTCATAATGATGAAGGAGTTTGAGCATCTTTCTTCATCCCTGATCGTGGAGATTGTGCGGAGGAAGCAGCAGCCTCCTGTCCGAACCCACTCTGAGCAGCCCCTGGACATAGGTAACCTCCCAACAGCCTCAAGGCTCACTCCAGCTGCTGCTGTGCCTTTGCTCATGGCTTGTTCAGCCTGGGCAGGTGTGGGAAGCAGCCCCTGCAGCCCAGCAGTTCCCAGTTGGGATAAGTGCTCAGGCTCTCTCCTGAGAGCACAACAGTTCTGTTCCCAGTGAGGTTCAGTCAGAACAGTGTCCCATCAATGTACATGGGATTGTGTTCTTGCAATAAACCATCCTGATCCTGTTCAGAGACACGAGAGAAGGAGCAGAAGGGTGTAAAGAATGAGCCACAAAAGGCAGTGGACAATCACTGTAAGTGGCTGTAGGGTGGCAGAGCTGAGCAGGGAATCAGGCTGCTTGAAGGGGTTCACCAAGGAGGAGGATCTTGTGAATGAGGCACTGCTCTGTGTGCCCGTGTGAAAGGAACAGGAGGTGTGGAGGAGAAGAGAAAGATGTGATTTACAGCTTTGTTGTGAAATTCATCAGGAGCTGATTTGGGACTAGTCTTACTCAACATTTTAACATCCTGACACACAACACAAGGAATGTAATAATGAAATTTTCTAAGGCCACAAAGTTCAGAGGCATTGGCAGTGTTGGTGTGGAGTGCTGCACAAAAATAACTGGGAACTGAAGAGAAAGAGAAGGAAGCTTGTCCTGGAAGGTCAGGTAGAAAGGCTTTGTCTGGCCTTTGTCCCAGGGGGGTGAGGTGCACTGGCTGGGAAGGTGGCACAGCCAGTTCTGTATCCAGAGCTAGAATGGTGTGAGAGAGCCAAACATTAAAAACTGAAAGATGAACTTTGAAAATATGAGTGAGTTTGGAGCAGACTTGGATGTGCTCTATTTCTCAGTTGGGTATTTACAAAGGTTGATTAAAATATTGGATAAAAGAAGCTTTTGTTGCTGATTTGGGAAGATTTTTCATTAAGACACAAAATGTTATATTCCTTGTGGTTGGAAATAGTGCAAAGGGAGGGGGAAAATCAGCTTTCATATCTATAGAGAGCATCTGTCAGTGTGGCCACAGCTGGAGTTCGCTGTCAGTGCAGAAAGCAGAGCTGACAGGTTTGGTGCTGGGAGGGGCAGTGGGGAATCAGCTGTGCTGGGGAAGGATGAAGCTCATTTTGCTCCAAGATTATGAGGAAGGGCTGGACTCAAATTCACGGTGAGAGTCCCAAAGGAAAGAGGGGCTGGAGCTCTGGCTTGGCCATGTGTTAGCTGGTTAGTACCTGGTCACCTGGAACTATCAGGTCTTCATTTCATGGTGTTTCATTTCAGGAACATCTTTAATTCAGGACATGAAGGCTTACCTGGAAGGAGCAGGGACTGAATTCTGTGATATCATCCTGCTGCTGGACGGGCACCCCCGGGCAGCCCACAAAGCCATCCTGGCAGCTCGCTCCAGGTGAGCCTGCACCAAGGCTGTGTGCAGGGCTGGGCAGGGCTGGGCAGCCTCTGCTCAGCTGCCTTGGCTCAACACAGGGAGGAACCTAAATCTGCATGAAGTGTTAAGATGCAGCTTTGCTCAATGAGTGTAATAAGCCTTTAAGCAGCAGTGATTAAATTTTTTTTTTTCCATTTGATACCCAGCAGGGAAAGATAGGAGGAAATTAGAACTGCAGAGATTCTGCAGAGGGTGTGTGAGAAGCTGCACTGCAAGACAAAGCATCTGTAAAATCACAGGAAGGGAAAAAGGGTGGAAAACATGAGGGGGTTTCAGTGAAGTGGAAAGCAACAGCTGTCCACTGAGGTCAGAAGGAGCCTTCTGAAAGTGAACTATTCCTATTTTATCATGTGGAACTTGATTTTCTTTCTCACTTTCTGATATTTAAGACTGGTTATGAATAAACATAATGAAAAATGGTGCATGACAGAGCCAGCCTAGAGTGTTCTCATGCTTTATGCAGAGAAAGGAGTCCACCCTGCTGATGGTGGGACTGTTCTCCCTCCTCAGGGCACGGGGAAAGTGGATTTGTCCTGCACCTGTGTGTTCTGTGGACCTGCACCTTATGTTCCACCAGACATTAAGTGTTCATATAAAATTTCTATTTCAAATACCATCACAATTTTTCCCAGAAAAAAGCCCTGACAATATTCAGTATTACTTACTGTGGTATTTTACCAGAAGCATTTCACAGCTCTTAAAACAGCGCTGATGATTGGCAGCCTGTAGATACCAAGGAAATTCATAATGCTTTAAGCTCTCTGCTGGCTCTTATGCAAATTAGAGAAAAAATCAAAGCACCATGTGTCCTAATTTTCAAGAAACAGACAAATTTCAGGTAGTTCTGATGGTAATTAGGGGGATTATATTTGGAGTTTCACTGGCAGGCATACATGAAAAAATAAATGAGCAGTGTTTTTGCCCAGGTTGTCACTTGAATTTGTTGCTTTGGAAGCTGCAGTTCTGAATAGCAGCATTTGAACAATACTGGGTTAAACCATCTGTCTGCAGAATGTGTTCTATCAGTTTTATTTCCCTTTGCAGTTACTTTGAAGCCATGTTCCGTTCATTCATGCCAGAAGATGGGCAAGTGAACATTTCCATAGGTGAAATGGTTCCCAGCAAGCAAGCATTCGAGTCCATGCTTAGATACATCTACTATGGAGAAGTGAACATGCCTCCTGAGGACTCCCTGTATCCTTCCATGCCAGGGAGCTGGGGATGTGTCTGAGGGCATGCCCAGCATGCACCTTCCTTTGGGAGGCTCTGTTGGGGGGCACCAGCAGGCTCTGCACTCCCATCCCCACAGGGCTTTGTTTGCCCTCAGTGCTCTCACCTTCCCTTTCTGGTTTATTCCTCAATGCAATGCACAGATACCTCTTTGCAGCACCTTACTATTATGGCTTCTACAACAACAGGCTCCAGGCCTACTGTAAGCAGAACCTGGAAATGAATGTCACAGTGGAGAATGTGCTCCAGGTAATTGTCCCCAAGCCCTTCAGTTAGTCACTGAGAGGAAAAGGGGGCTGCTCAGGTGGGTACCCCCAGTGCCAGGTCATGAGGCTGCCCAGGCCCTTGCAGGGGCAGTGCCCTGTGTGATGGCATGTGTGGGAGCCCAGCCATGTTCCTTACCTGTGCTGTGGCACCTCTGTTCCTGTGCTGCAGGGTTCAGCTCACCTGGCTCCTCCTGAGCTCCCATCCCCTGTTACAGAACTGTGTCCCTAAAGGTCTTTTTAAGATGACCACGTGCTCAGCACTTAACTGTAAACCCTTTTTGGCAGACATTTGTTCCAGGGCAAAGAGTGGTCTGCAGGTGACAGACTTTAGTCTTGTTTTATCAGTGGTACTGACAGGATTTTGCAGTGGAGTTTGAGCTAACAAAAGAGATTTTGTGGTAAGAAAGCCAATGCTGGCTCCCAGGCAGGCAGCCTGAACCTCTGCAGCACAAGCAGAAGCAAGTCCTGCTGATTAACTCTTGAGGACTCCATACATTTTAAATCCAAGGCCTAATTTTGAATAGTTCAGAAAATATTCAGTTTGTAGTGCAAAGTGGAGATGTTCCCTAGCTAAGAGGAGTTACTGCTCTGGGTCAGGACTGTTTGTGCATCTGAGCTGTGCAGAAAGGAAATCACATTTTTGCTCCTGCTCTAGATTTTAGAGGCAGCTGACAAGACCCAGGCCCTGGACATGAAGAGGCACTGCCTGCACATCATCGTTCACCAGTTCACCAAGGTTGGTTGCATCTTTTCTGTGGCTTTTGAGAGCTGCTGTCCTCTGTCTCTGCCCTGGTTAAAGACATGTTCATAAAGAAATCAGTTTAATTCTTCCTCTTGTGAGACAGCTGAGAGCTGGCTGCCTGTTCTGACACTCACTGACAGGACTGCTAGGCACGTTTCTCACTCCAAAGTAAATTAAAGAGTAGAACAAGCTACTCTAGAAATGTGAAGCCCTTCCAAGCAGAAGTTACCCAAAATTGCTTCCATTTCCAGTTGTTCCAACTGTTATTTTTGTGCCATGCAAAGCAGGGTAAGTTTGTTGTATACTGAGGGCACAATCTCTCCCTCACTAGCAGTTACCAGTGTGCTCCTCACACGCCCCTTCTCTGTCATACATGTTTTGTTGTCATGTGCTCTAAAACAAATTACCATGTCCTGGCTGGGCTCTCTGTGATTTCCATGTTCAACAGTTGGACTCTATGGTCTTAGAGGTCCTTTCCAATCTTAAAAATTCTCTGGGTGTGTTTTGATGGGATTCTGCATTCATGGCAGGAAAGGTCAAGAGCCCAGTGTGCTGATACTCCTGTCCTCACATGGATATTGTCATTTAATTGTTCCTATGAGATGTGATCCCTCCATGAGAGTTCCCCAGCATGTCATCAGTTCATTGCTCAGCTTATTAGCATTGCTGAAATAGGTAGATAAATCACAGGAATTGGGATTTCTGGATGCTACACACATACTGATAATAATTCCCTAGTTAATATTCAAGTAGCTCACTCTGCTTTGTATATTTAAACTCACAATCCTCCTGGGGAAGAAGAGCACTGCTATGTCCCATTAGTGTCTGGAGAGGAGACAGGATGGTGTTCAGGCTCTTCATTAAATGCCAAAGTTGCTGGAGCATGACGCATTTTACATTCAGAAATAACTGAAATTGCATAAAAAGCATTGAGAGTGGAGCCAGCATCCAGAAATCACTCCCAGAGGAGAGTCCAGAGCGTGGGCTTGCAGCCCCTGCCTTCATTCATCCTGTCTGTTTTCCTCTGGCCCCCTGAGTCCTGTGGGGCAGCCCAGTCCAGCAGGGGTGGGGAATGGTCCCACTGGGCAGGACAGGACAGGACAGGGACAGCACATCCCTGGGGTTGGGTCAGTGCCTTGCAGCCACTGAGGGCTGAAATAGCACAGTATCACTTCCCAGTGGAGGCCACAGGAAGACAAAGAGCTGTGATTCTGCCCAGAATGCACAGGGGGAAATGGACATTACAACCTGGGAGGCAGCGAGGGGAGCTGGAGGGCGTTCCTCAGCTGAACTTCCTCACCAGGATGTGGGGAAATGCTTTATATTGAAACTGTTGACTGCTAGAACAGTGTTCATCAAAACGTGGCTGGAAGACTGTCAAGCAGATGTGCACAGAGAAATCTCAATTATGCAATGTTTTCCCTGGGCCTGAGAGGCCTCAGTGTGTGATTCTTGGCCTGGGCTGGGTGACTCAGTGTGGCTGGGCAGAGACACTCTCTGCTTGCTCCTGGGCCAGCCCTGGGCTCTGAGGGGGATTTGTTCTCAGCACAAGCCCTGTGGGTCACTGGAGCTCAGGCAGGCTGCCTCCCTGCCTCTGGCATCTCCTGTTCTTCCAGTTACTTAATGCTGTTCTGGATTTGGACTGTTAAGGAGTTTTCCCCACAGCAGGAGCATTTCTGAAGAGCTGTTCCCAGAGGTTCCCTGCTTTGGGCAGTGTGTTTTCAGCTCTTGTGTGTCAGTGTTGTGCAAAAGCTCTAATAAACCTGCTGTTGTGCTGTGTTTGCAGTGACACCCTGATCTGTTTGCAGTGTGTGCCTTGGGTGGGGGCACATCCCACCAGTGCTCAGGGGTCTGTCCCTCCCAGTCCTGGCAGATCTTGGACTGGGATATTGCTCAAGCACATCCTGAGCTCTTCTGAAAGCACCCTCAGCCATTTCCCTCCTGGCCCTCAAGGGTTGCTCAGGACATGTTTATTCTTTACCCCAGCAGCTCCCAGGGTGAGGGGATAATGCCAGCTCAGGTGAGGAGGGTGAGTGAGTGCTGGGGCACAGCCTGCCTGCAGCTGCCTCTGTGTCAGTGCCTCGGGCCAGGGGCAGTGCTGGCTCCTCGCCATGAGGCTGAGGACAAGGAAGGAACGTGGAGAGCTCCTTTGTGCAAACAGTTGAGCTTCTGAACAGTCCAAAAGCATAAAGTTTGCTGTAGATTCTCATCTATCTGATGTGGTGGAGGTTTTTGTTGGCAAGTGCTCCAGTGACCTGCTTTGACTGCAGGAAGAATGCCAGCAGAACCAGCATGGATGCTGAGAAGAGCTTTTCCTCAGGAGCACAGCAGCAAAGGGATCAAGCCCTGAGTCACATTTTCAGTGCAGAAGCACAGATCTCAGAGCTCAGGCTCTCTTAGGAGAGTGCTCAGTCAGTGTTTGTAGCAGTGGGGCTGTCAGTACCCACGGGGCAGCTCTGGGCCAGGTTCCTGCTGCTCCCCACTCCCAACAGTCTGAATTTGGTTCTAAGCCCTGACTGGAGCCCTGTGGTCTGTTCCCTGCAGCCCAGCCCCACAGCTGGGATCTCACACCATCTGTGCCCAGCTGGACTTGCTGTGGGGTGCCAAGGGTAAAAGGGTAATAACATGAGCTGTGATTTGGGGAGGGTTTTAATTTCTTCCTGTTTTTTCTGTTTTGTTTTCCTTGAAGGTCTCCAAGTTGCCAAATCTCCGCTCGCTCAGTCAGCTCCTCCTCCTTGACATCATAGATTCCTTAGCTACCCACATCTCAGACAAGCAGTGTGCAGAGCTGAGTGCAGACATATGACATGCCTTGGGAAACCACCTTCTCATTTGTTCCTGAAAAACACTGGCACTTTAGAGCTGGCTCTGGTTTACTGCTGTGTATGGAGCAGCTCTGTCTGCACACTACAGCAGCCCTGGAGGAGCAGGGACAGCTGAGGTGCTCTCTGGATTCGCTGGGTTTGTACCTTTGTGCAGCACTTGGACTTTGTTACATTTGTTACCCAAATGCAGACTTGAAATCATTGCAGGCCTGAATTAATTCCACATGGTTTGGGGAGTTCATAATCAAGCCCATTATTACTTTCATACTGTAAAATCAAGCAGTCATGAGTAAGAGTCACTAATCCTTTGAAATACAATATTTAAAGAATACTATTTAAAGAGCTTCAGCTGACCCAGCCCAAGGGCTGTGAGGGGAAGTCACAATGAAACTGGGAACAAGAGCACGTGGTGTTCACAGGGAGACTGGCCCTTGGACCAGAATGTGGTGACTTTTCAAAGACTCCATGGTGTGGATTAACAGCTAAGCCCCTGTGCAGCTGCCTGGATTGGTGGGCTTCCTGAATCCAGACCTATGCTCTGAAGCAGGTCAGACTGGAAGATTACAGCAGTCCTCTCTGACCACCAAATCCATTAATCCTGTCTTGCTAAGCCTTTCTAAATCTATTTATTAATAAAGAATTAACATCTTCTCCTGGCATTTCATGATTGACTTGGATTTCATTCTGGAAAAAAAATTAAGCAAAAAACGTTCTGTGCTTGATGAAGGTCACATTGTTAAAAATAAGTGTGTAACATCTTGTTACTAATTTTATATTGAAGTGTCTCTGTGAGCCGTTGCCTTTGCAGGAAGGTGAATGAAGGCAGAATGCCATTTCCAGCCCCTTGCAGCCCCCAGCTCTGTGCTGGATGCTTCCCACCTCTCCTCACAGCTGGAGGGTGTTGGTGAAGTGTCTGCTGGTGGAACTGTGCCAGCCCTGCCCAGAGCCCTTGGGGCTGCCCTGGCAGGGAGTGACAAGCTGGGAACCAGAACCTTGTCCTGCTCCAGCTGCAGGGGCTGCTCCCTGCTTGTCTGGAGCTGGAGTGGTGCAGGATCCCTGAGGAGACGTGCAGCCCCCAGCCCTCACACTCCACCCCTGCAGCCATGATTCCCATTCACTGAAGTGTTCCTGGAGCAGCAGTTGTGAGCTCCTCAGCAGCATCCCACAGCCTGGCACACCTGCAGTCTGGGCAATGGGGAGCACATAGGTCTGATCCAAGGGAACTGCTCTAGGACCTCCCCTCTGGCTCCCTGGTGCCCTGCTCAGGTGAGTCACACCAGAGGTGACAGCTGCTTCTGAGAGCCAAGGGCACCTTCTAATCCAGAGGGATTGTTTCCAGATGCCTCATAGACAGTGGAGTCCCTTCCCAGAGGTCATGATAATTGTCCTGACAGGCTCTGTGTTCCCTGGGAAACCAGGCTGGCAGCTAGAGAGGTTCTGCACTGCAACTTGTAACAACACTGCAGTCTATTTCCAGTGATGCTGATCCACTAGAGGACACCCACTGCCCAGGGAAGCCTCATTCTCTCAGGCTGAACCTGCCATAACCAGCCCTGTGTAAATCCTGAGCCCACTTGTGAGGAAGGAAATGCACAACCTCTGAGCAGGCACTGTGGGGTCTTGGCTTTGGGGGGGCTCTGGGCTCAGTCACTGCTGTAGGGACCACAGTGCTGGGTCAGGGATTTACTGTGAACACTTGAACCCCATTGAGACTGGGCTCTGGGCTGCTGTTGTGCAAGTGCCAGGACTGCAGCTGAGAGGACACCCCGAGTTTCCTGGGAGATGACAGGATGGGAGGTGGTGTAGGAGTCATACACAGACTGTGGGGTGCACATGAGATTGCCAGGGCAGTTAGGTGCTCTTGTTATCATCACCTTGTTATCACTATGGCCAGCAGGCTCTCAGGTTACTGATGCTTCTGCAGCCTTGGCAAGTTCTGTACTGGAATTTGTGCAGTCATATCTCTGAATTTGATAAGGAATAAAGAACATTGTGGCTGTCCAGCTTTGTGTTATTCCTACAGTCTCTGCCACATGCAGGCCCCACTGGCTCTTTAAAGTCCTCGGAAGCGCAGGAGCACCCTCTCCTCCAACTCAGTGTGAGCCCCAGTGTGGTGGCAAAAAGCAAGGCAGAGAAGCTCCCAGCTCCTCTGGAGCAGCACTGGAGCCAGGAGCTCCCAGCTCTGCCACACTGCACCAGCTCCCCATGTCCCCATTGTCACACCTGTGGCAGCCGGGCAGGAGCCCAACAAGGAGCAGTGTGGGTCAGGGCCAGGAGCTGCTGCAGGCACTGAGGCCAAGCCCGTCCCTCCCGTGCCAGCAGCACCCAGAGCAGGGCTGGCAATGGGGCAGGGAGTCACTCTGAGGTGGCTCACTGGGAACAGGAAGAACACTGAGAAAAAATCCCACATTTTAATAAGGAAACGTGAGAGGGAGGCACTGAGGTCCTGCCAGCAGGAGCACCGGCGGAGGGGCAGAGCCCGGGCTGCCTCAGGCCTCGGCCAGGCCCAGGATCTTCTTGACGTAGTTCTGCACGTTGACGTGGAGCTGCGGGGCCGT